ATTTTAGTTTGTAATATGAATTTAATTTTAATTTAATAGTCGGTTATTGGCAAAACTAACTCTCATTGTTTCATGACTTGATCGTCTTTAGAAAAATCTAACAAATTTTTGAATAGTGGAGGAAATATTAGTTAACGTTCATTTTTAAGACGTTAATTGGTTGAAATTATTATGAAAGTCTATAATTCGTGGTCGAAGGAAGACGGAGATCCATTGAGATAAGACCCGCAAAGATAGTGATGTGTGAACCAAAAAGGACTTTAATAAGTACTAATTAACATTATGACGGGTTAAACCATGTTAAAGAGACAATACTGAAAAATGTATATAATTCGATACAATGTGCGATAAAATCTTAATATAGCTAAGGACTACAAGAACCTAAACAACTGTTGTAAAGCGCACATTGACATCAAACAATACAGTAATAAAATAAAATTCCATAATAACTACAAAAATGCATATCGAAAAAGAACAATTGTCAAAAATAAACATTGAGGCGTAACAATTGGTATAATATACATAATTCCAATTTTTTTTTGTTTTTATCCGTTTTATAATTTATCATCTAAAAACTAGATTTACCAATATTTTTTGTTTATTATCCCTGTTTTCCTGATATAGCAGTATTACCATCTAGCAAGGAGGACTTAGAGATAGCTTTAAATAAAATGGAAGCGGTACTGACAGATCAGTACTGTATGAAAATAAATAAAGGTAAAACTAAAATACTGGTATGCAAGGGATGAAAAAGTAGGGAAAGAGCGAATATAAAGATAGGAGACGACAAATTAGAAGAGGTGGCTGATTTTAAATACCTAGGAAGTCACATAAGTCAGGATGGAAGGAGTAGTAGTAGTAGGGATATAAAGCAGAGGATAGTGCAGGGTCGTGTCGCCTTTAATAAAAAGAAGTCACTTCTATGCCCGCGAGCGGTTAATTTAGAAATTCGCAAAAGGTTGTTAAAGGTGTATGTTTGGAGCACGGCATTGTACGGGTGCGAAACATGGACAGTGGGCGCGGCGGAAAAGAAAAGGTTAGAAGCGTTCGAAATGTGCTGTTATAGGCGGATGATGGGTAGAAATAAAGAGGTATTGGAGAGAATATGAGAACAGAGGACTCTATGAAAGTTAATAAAAAATAGGCGAGATAGGTTGGTGGGACACCTTCTTAGGCATGAGGGTATAGTCAGAGACATATTAGAGGCAAAAACAGGAGTTAGGAGGGATAGAGACAGACTTAGATTAGATTACTGTTCGCAAATAGTTAAGGATGTGGGTTGTTCTAGTTTTAGGGAAATACTGGAAAAGCTCAGGATAGAAAGGAGTGGAGGTACGTGTCCAACCAGTCTTAGGACTGACGACCTTATGATGATGATGATCCCTATTTTCAACTAGGTATCTATTTGATGTATCATGAAAGAATGAAATTTTTGGATAGAAAAGATTAGAAATGAAGAGATATTAGAAAGAATAGAGCAGAGGACTCTATGGAAGTCAATAAGAAATAGGCGAGATAGGTTAGTAGGACGCCTTCTTAGGCGGGTCTTGGAATGGTCTAGTCAGAGACATATTAAAGACAGAAACGAGAGTTAAGGGGAGTAGAGGTAGATCTAGATTAGATTACTATTCGCAAATAGTTAAGGATGTGAATTGTTCTAGTTTTAAGGAAATGCGAAGATTAGCTCAGGATAGGAAAGAATGGAGGTGCGTGTTCAATCAGTTTTAGGACTAACGACCTTACGATGATCATATCTGTTTTTTTACTGATCAGCTAATAATTTACCAAAATATTATATCGTATTATCTTTAGGGATTGACTATCAACAAACTAAAACTTGTAACATATTTTTATTTACAGTTTGAGAAACAAAAGTCTATAAAAATAATGAAACGTTTGATTTAATTGTTTTAAGTTCTGTCCTCTAATCTCATTATCATCTTATCTTTAGCAACATGTCCACTCGTTTAATTGAAGTCCAAATTAAAATAGTAATGAATTTTAAGGGTTAACGAATTCAATATTTCTGAATGAACAAAAGCGATAAAAATAAAATTTTATCTAAAGAGTTTAAACAGTTAGGTGCGATATTTTCCAATAAATAAAACGTTGGAAACACATCAAAGTCAATTTACTACAGATAAGCTATAGTTCCGTATATGCATTAGTTACTTATAATTACAAGAAAATGATCGTCAATAATCCCAGCAGAAATTTTATTTCTAAATGGCTTCAACTAGTAGCAGTAATAACAGGTAAAATTACATTTCAAAAATTTCATTCTTTCATGATTCATCAAATATATACCTACTTGATTTTTTAATTATCCGTTTTTGTTGATCAAAGGTCAACACACCTATTTAGACAGTTATTTTTTATTTTTTAATCATGTTTCGTCTGCAAATTTATTATTGATCTCGCAGTTAATCTATAAAGGGTTATTTTTAATGCGGTTTACTGCGAAAATCGATTCAGACAAAAATTCTTTTAACAAAGAGTAAAACTTCAAAATTATTACCAAAAGTAGATACGTTTTAGGTGTTCTGCGGATGTTGAGTTTGAATTTTTTTATACAGGTATTACAAGATCCCCGTTGAGCCGAAATTCGATTAATTTGTTTTCAGATCAAATCAAGTCTAGAAAAAGGAGAAATATTCCTTCTGACATTTAGACCAGAAAAACGACCACATACACCATAAATTTAATAGTAGTTAAGCGATTAAAATGAATTTTTGATAAAAAACAAGTTCTTTTGGATTATGTGAGGTTAAAAGCTTGCGGTTTTAGATTTCACGTTACATTGGGTGTAAATTTCGGGTGGGCCAGCACATGGGTCAAAACATTCTGTGCCTGTACCTTGCACCACCCGGATTGCGTCCTTGTACATTAAGGTTACACACGTCGATAAGACAATCAAGCAGCGCATTACCAATAATCAGATCCCAGACCGAAAACTTATATATATACTTAACCTATGTACATTACTAGGAATAGTGTGGAATTCTTTTTATCCAACAATATCTAGAATCGGTTGAATAATTCCAGAGATTGTTGAAAGTGTTCAAAAGTTCAATCCGAAGGTATATTTCTTTCTCTTAGACTCTATGTATGCAATATATAGGAATGAGTTAACCTGCATTTTAACGTACGTATTAGGATTAGTCACATTTATGAGACGGGGAAAGTCCCGAAGGATTATAAACGGAACGTGGAAGTAACCATACCTAAAAAGAGAGGCGCGGATAGGTGCAAGACATTTAGAATAATTAACCTAACTTTCCATGCGTCAAAAACCTTAACTAGAATTGTATAGAGTAGGATGGAAAAACTATTAGAGCAAGATCAATTTGGGTTTAGAAGAAATACAGAAACGCGGGAGGCTATGCTAACTTTACTGATGACAATACAGGAAAGGATAGAAAAAGGAAAAAGCAATTTGTGGATTTAGAAAAAGCTCATGACAATGTTTAATGGGACAAGATGTTAAATATTCTTAAAAAAGTTGAGATGGGTTACAGAGATGGAAGAGTTATACTTAGTTAGAAAAGAAAAGGTTAGAAGCGTTCAAAATGTGGTGCTACCGTGGATAGGAAAGGTTAGAAATGAAGAGGTATTAGAAAGAATAGGAGAACAGAAAATTCTATGGAAGTCTATAAAAAATAAGCGAGATAGGTTGGTAGGACACCTTCTCAGGCATGAAGGTCTAGTCAGAGACATATTAGAGGCAATAACAGAAGTTAAGAGGAGTAGAGGTAGTCCATAGTTAAGGATGTGGGATGTTCTAGTTTTAGAAATGTGAAGATTAGCTCAGGATAGGAAGGAGTGAAGGTGTCTTAGGACTGACGACCTTATGATGATGATGATTAGGATTTGTTCAAATCCACCTACGGGCAGCACGAGCTTAACTTAAGGCCAATACAATACATATTTTAAGTATTTTACCTGGCGTAACCGCAGCATATGCAAATGATTTTTATAGCTGAATATTTTTTTATAAAATTGCATTTTTAGTGTTCAAACAATTTCAGGAACAATCGGGACCATAAGCGATGGTATGCAGTATGGCTGGACAGCTCCTAATATTCCCAAGCTACGTTTAGACGACAGCCCAATAAAGATAGCAAAACATGACGAAGAATGGATAGAAAGTATCTACATGATAGGAAACACCGTAGGCATTCTATTTACAATAGTTTATATGAAGTTTATGGGTAGAAAACCAATTATAATATTGGCCGCTACAAAACATGTAATAGCATGGATGTTGATAGCAACAGCAACCAAAATTGAAGTTCTTTATTTTGCACGATTCCTTGCCGGTGCGGCTGGAAATATAGCCTTTGTTGCACTGCCAATGTACGTCGCAGAAATAGCCGATGAAAGCATTCGAGGATTTTTAGGAACTTTTGCCTACACCAGCATGATACTTGGTGTCTTGGTAATATACAGTATTGCACCATTCACCTCAATAGCAATTTCTTCGAGTGTAGGAGCAGCGTGTGTTACGCTTCAAATATTAACCTTCAGTTTTATGCCTGAATCACCATATTATCATATCATCAAAGGAAATCAGAAAGCTGCTTTAAAATCTCTTCAAATCTTCCGAAGAAAGCAAGATGTTTACGAGGAACTTAAGGACATTACGAGCGCTGTTCAAAGACAAGAAAAGGAAAAGGGAAGGATCATAGATATATTTATTGTTAGGAGTAATCTCAAAGCATTTATTATAGCAATCACCCTCAATTTTGCACAGCATTTCAGTGGTATAAGTGTTTTATTGATGAATGTTCACACAATTTTAGCGGATGCTGAGTCAGTTATTCCTGCAGAGACCGCTCCAATCATCATAGCTGCGACCATGCTTATTGCTTGCATAGCATCTTCATTTACTATAGATAAATTTGGTAGGAAAATTCTTCTTGTTAGCTCCAGTATTCTGACAGGATTGTCTCTTATTGTACTGGCGACTTATTTTTACATTAAAAATTCTAATAGTGGTACTTCTGATCTTAATTGGATCCCTGTCATGTCCCTCATACTATATTCGTTGTTTTTCAAATTTGGTCTTGGAATGGTCCCCATTGTATTTTTGGGAGAATTGTTTCCTACTAGCATCAAAGCAATGGCAATGAGCCTGATTAATATATCCTATGGTGTGTTTGGAATTGCGTCGGTTTATTATTACATTCATGTCAGTTCTTTGTATGGAATGCACGTTCCATTCTTCATTTTCGCAGGATTGTGCATTTTTGCAGCGCTGTTCTCACAATTGTTCATACCCGAAACCAAAGGCAAAACGTTAGAAGAAATACAAATGATGTTAAAGGGCATGTGATCATACATTAGAAATATTTGTACCTGGGAAACTATAGCAAGACTGATAATTTGAATGGGAGTTGTTGGAACTTCTGAAAATAAATTTAGTAAATTAAGCTAATATTAAAGTAGATTAAGGACTAGAGCTTTGTATAAGTATTCAGCATGGATACCTATTTTCAACTACCTGAAAAACGGCTAACTCTATCATGTAACTTTGGTAACGAGATTAGTAACATAATGTATTAATCTATCGGTCCAATTCTATGGAAAATATAAAAAGTTTTACATATTCTAAATGCCTACTGCCAAACTTTTACTGGTTATCCTAGCTAATATTATAAATGCGAATGTGAGTTTGTTTGTTTGTTTGTCATCTTTTCACGCCTTGACTACTCAATCGATCATGATGAAATTTTGTAGACACATTGTTAGGTGTACAGAAAAAGACATAGGGTGCCTTTTATCTAGAAAAAAATACTGTTCCTAGTCGTCGACAATCATTAACACATATTTTGCAATCAACGCGAGCGAAGCTGTGGGTAAAATTTAGTAAACTTTTTAACCAATGAAAGTTTGATTAAATATTGAACCTTTTTCTTACAAAAGGGTTCCGGAATAGCTAGCATAATCTTAAAGCAGATATAGCTTCCAATTTTATGGATAACTAAAGCTTTTGTAAAAATTGAGTGCTTCACATATTAATCTTGATTATTTATAATTAGTCTATTGACAACAATGTAATTACTGAAACAAAAAGTTAGCAGTATTGCAAATTGTTAATTTTCTAATCTATCAAGAACTTATTGATCATACTGTTAACGTAAACCGTAATTTATTGGCAAACTCGTTAATTTTGTAAAACTATTAGGATTGATTATAACTTTAAATTAGTTATTTGGAGAGATTATAAACTAATAAATTTATGTAAATTTAAACTATTTAAGTATATTTATTGAATAAATGACTAATCTGAACAACATTGGAGCAATTTTTTTTATTTGTTATGAGCGTAACTCAGTGGCGGATTCTCAATGGGATAAGGAAGATTAAGCTTTCTATTAGTATTAGCCTGTAATTTTTACTTTGATTTACCAGGATCAAGTAACTACGCTATTATTAAGCTGTTCCAATATTGTTGATTTATTCGTAGTGTTGCGCCTAAATTCAGACTACCATCCATACTCACGACAGACGTAGAGAATATTGCAAACATATAAAAGAGATGTCAACTAGGAATTGCTTCGGATACTAATAAAAAAAGGAATAATATTACACCAACAAGTTCTTCCCCCTTATCAGTCACTGTGAGCTCGAAACTATTAGCACCATTGCTTCGAGTGGTCGAAATTCACTTTTGTGAACAATTTGTTTAATCACTTTCTTTGTGTTAAAAATTGTTTGAAAAATTAAATTTAAAGGAATTGTTTGTAAATAGGTATGCAACACATCGTACACATCAGCATAAGAAATCACTGATACTAAGTACGTAATACTACGTTATCCTTTGCTGGCAGCACTCATAATTTCTTTTATATAAAATATTAATGTGTAACAGAAAGAGATGCAGACAAGCAGAATTTGACCCAGCATCAGACTTTAAAGAAAGTTCAATATTCTTAGGAAAGCAAAGACATAATTCCAACCAGACAGTTATAAAGCCGACCCTAATCTTTTGTATACTGAAGCAACCTCTAACGTCTAACTGCTGCACCGCTTACTAGTGTTTGATTAATTTGTCTACACCATTCAAAACGAGCAAATGACTACAGTCCTAAGTAAAAATAAGAATGAAAATACGTTCATTCTCACAATATTGATGAACATTTTAATGAATACTGAATTTAGGGTTTAATAATTAACAGGTTAATACCTGTAGCATAACTACTTAATGTTTGAGAGACTATAAAAAAGTGAAACATTTAAATTAATTGATTTATGTTCTCTTTTCTNCGCTTCGTACTTGTGTAGATAATAATGAGAGTTTTGATTTGAGACTTGGACCGCTCTTCTAATTTATATACATCAAAAGTAATCCATTTAATAAGATTGAAAAAAAATCTCATTTGTCTAGAAACGACTGATATAGGACTTTAAAGGTAGTAATGGTTTGTCAAGGGGTCTAGAACGATTCTGTAATACTGCAATTTCTAATGTTGCGGCATTTAAACTATCATCAGTAGAGATCGATACTCCTTGGTCTCGATTAGGGTTGCCACCCGTACTTTATTATAAAGTATTGTACACTATTTCGACTGTGCGTACGCTATACTTTACAAGACACATAAAGTACGCAAAAATACTTTATTTAAGGTCTTAAGTAAACATCGTAATTTTGTAAGCGATTACTCGAAATTCAGAGTACTTTTATATCAATAATATTGCACAGAAAAATGGCAAGCCATATTTACGGAACAACCTGATTTCCCAAATCTGTTCAAAGTAGTGTCACTTTTGCTGTCCGTTCCGGCCACTTCAGCATTTACAGAAAGAGTATTCTCTGTTATGAACGCAAAGTGGCGGGACGACAGGAATAAAGCTTCATTAAAACTAATTAAAAATGAACTTTTAGTTTACTTAAATCTTTGTTTGCCATGTTTAGAGGCTATTAATGTATTTAAGAGCGACAGAAATTTGTTACTGGCTGCTAGGTGTAACAAAAAATATGTTTGTAAAAACAAAAAATAAAATATTTTATTTTTATGCCGACTACTTTTTTTTTAACCTTTTAGTCGAAAAATACTTTATGTAAAGCTTGAAAAGGTGGCAACCCTAGTTTCGATGCATTAATGAATTGTGTTTTTTTTGCAAAAATTACAACAATTGTACATAGCTTTTTTTGATGGACAGCCTATTTGAGTTCATCACCACACATCGCGAGAAAAGATTCACATTCGTATATTAGATATGACTGCCTACAGATAGACATAGATTGGAACCTTTATAATCGGTTTTTGTGATAAATACCTTGACCGTGTGCGGCCAGAGTTTATTGGTATTTCTGAGAATTCGGTTTCCTGAACGATAATTATCCATTTTGTCTGCACTCGTGTTTTTAATTACACATTTACTCTAACTTGAAGAAAAATAGCTTGCAAACAAAACATTTAAACAAACACATTAACAAAAAAGAACTTAAATTACCGATAGAAATCTAACTGATAAAATAACAATCATATTGCACCTAAATATGACTGATTAGGTGAAAATCAAAATCTAACTCTCATTTACGAGGGTGGATTGATAAGTTTCCGGCCTAACCAAGAGATGACGCCACTAGGCCTACCTTGAGGTGACATTCTATAGTACCATCCTTGGATAGCTTGTAGCTATAGTTTCAGCCCGATCTCCTTGCTAGTGTAGGTTTGACAGCACGCTGAACAAGACGCCTCTGTGGTTTTCGTAAAAATGGAAAAGCAGGAAAATCGT